CTTTGCGAAATATCAGAAAAATATGGCCACTTTTATGCTCGGCGTCTTATTTTAGGAGGAGCCATAATGAACGATGAAGAGTATACTAAAAATTCAGCTATGTTGATTACGGTTAGAATCCGGACCTATTGTGTCCCGTGAATAATGATTTGTATTACGAAAAAAGTTGGTTTAATTACGTATTTAATCTATCATAGCCGAAAGTTCTAAAGCCAAACTTACTAAAGCACAAGGTGGAGTCGAAATTGCTGCAAACATTCTTGAGTTTGAAGTTAATGCTGTTCATGATAAAAATGATATGCACAACAATTATAATATACATAAAAATAACTTCGAAACAATCGTTGGCGGAGACGATTCTCAAAATGACAAAGATCTTTGGATACAATCTCTTAATGATGCAACTAAATGGAAAATAATTGGATATGAAAATGTCTACTCATTATTTGAATTATTAGAAGATGAGTTGAAAGAAAAAGTGTTGAGTGTAATGGGACACCAAATTTTAGATGGTAAAGGCTTAATACTATTCATATAAAATTATTTATATCTTTAATTAAATTTATAATTAATCCTTTGTTAACAGATAATGTAGATGAAATCAGTTTCAAAATACAAAAAACCGAACAAAAGAAGAAGCCATATATCTATAAATTACTGGTACCTAATAAAATCAATAATATTAGCGAATGCAATATTCTTGCATCAATCGTTAGCGAGAAAGACAATGTATTTTCTCTACATGTGGATTATATGGGTGGAAAAAAAAACAGCCCAGTGATTGTTATTCATCATATACAAGGTAAAAAGGCTAAACTAATGTCTAAGAATGTTAAAATTAGACTTGGATGGATGATCATTGGACCACCAACAAGCTTCGACTTTAGTATCCAATATCCACTGATATTTAAAAGTGGGAAATATCAACCTCTTAAAGAAGGTCATCCTACAATAAGCAACTGTGGCATGTTTGGCACTTGCGTCTTAGAAGCAATCAATAATACTCAGCAAGTAGAAAATAATTCAAATAAAGGAATGGTCACTTGCAATCAAGTAACTCACAACCCAAATGAATCAACATTTGCTATTGGCAATTATCTTACACGCTGTCAAGAGCCCGTACGTCAAGAATCCGCACGGTTATTTGTTTATGACATTAAAAATAAAAAAGAAGTAACTGATGTAGAAGTCTTGAAAAGATTGTCTTTATACAGTTGGTAAGTAAAATACTATGACCACTTCTTACACAGTATCTCTCAAAATAATATACTTCTGCGTTAAGTACGCTTCTCAACCAATAACATCGTTAGATTACCTTATTATTCAATTTTAAGAACACAAATTATATATGCCATAGAATCCAGTTGCGGTTGTGCCGAAAATATTTAGGCACCGATTTTTTTTTCAGGTAAATTCTGGGGCACCTAAAAAATTGACCGATAATTATTCGACCGAATTCAATATGTTATTGATTTTGGTACGATCACTCATAACTTTTGAATTCGGCTGAATAATTGTCGGTCAAACTTTTAGGTGTCCAGGAATTTATGAAACAGCTGCAATGCCGCAAGCCGCAATTTATGCCGTAATCAGCAATAAAGACAAACTCTGAAATATATGTCATGATAAAAATTACTAGTCATAATTTTGTACATAACTTCAGTATACATGTCATAGAAACTACTTCTGCTTGGCCGAAAATATTTCCACATATAAATTTACCTAAATTTTATGGCAAAATCAATTCCGAAATACCTTTAGCCAAGCAAAATGGGGTTTTTTTGTGATATGCATACTTATGACATTAATTATGGTATTAACGATTAGCTGCGGCAAATTTTAGCTTTAGGCAATGCCGTATGCCTGAAATTCAGGTAGAAATTATGCCGTAATGCTTTCTACGACATGTATATCTTTTCTCATGAGATCGCATTAACTTTATTAAAGCTTCAGATGTCAATACCATGATCACATTGCAACATTTATAAAATGTATGTCAATATAAGCGTAGAAAACATTTTAATCTTCTT